AAGAGTGGATGGGGCTGTGGAGTTTGAGCAGAGGAAAGACCATATGGGGTTGCTGCATAGCACACAGTGAGGTGAACTGATGGGTCTGTCCCCTCTTAGGATTGTGCTTGCTAATGACTAGGAAAAGCTGGTTCATTAGGCAATCAGATGCCTCCTTTATCATGTATATTGGCTATGGGTTTGGTTTGCTTTTTGTGGCGCCTGGGTGTCACAGGACCTGACCTGTGAGTATGCTAACCACAGCCTCTCCCTTTCAGACAACACGGGACTGATGTTAAGAAAAGCCATGACGGAAGATGCAAGGTGGAAAGTACTCCCGTAAGTATAATTTCAGCCATAAAATAAGTGCCATCTACTCTCTCTTCAGTCTCTAGGAAAATTCTGGCTGAGCTCAGTGCACCTGCCATGCTTGTGCATGGAAGGGGGGTGATGCACAGTGCTCATGTTGGTGCTCTTGTTCTTCCTAGTTGCTGCTGCCAGTGTGCTGCACCTGGGGGCAAGAGAGGATGGGAACAGGCCAGGACTTCAGAAACAAAATGTCCCAGTACTGCTGATCTCTGAGCTGAAATCATCAGAGGCAGCCCAAGAGCCATGCAGCCCGTTTTAGCACAGTAGGAGAGAAAAGCAGAAGGCTGTGTTAGATGTCTGTGTATTTATTCAGAGTCAGGATTTCCATTGCACTAGACAGGCAGGTTAAAAAGTCCTCGTGCTCTGGTCAACCAGGACAAATCTGTTCTCAGGTATGTGTACAGAAATAGCTTTATTATCCTGCACAGTAACAGTGTGTGCTGATAATATCTCAACACATTTGTTCTGCTTATGCAGAGCAGCTCTGAAGCACCAGAAATAATTTCATGCATCCTGAGGGACTGCAATATATTTTCTATAGAAAAGACATGTTGTTAAAATGTTGTCTTTGCTTTAATTTGTTCTTGGACCATGTGGGAAATATGGATAATAAAAGGCAAACTCTGCAAACTGACAGTGAAGTGTCAGTGATGCTTAGCTACTGTAGACTGGCTTCCAGTAGATGTTTGTCTATTTATCCTCAAATATTTAAATTATTAGGTTTTATACATGGCAAATATTTTTGTAGCAGGAGCTGGTGAAACAGTTCTTGCTGCAGTTTTGGAAAAGCTGAAACAAAATCTCAGATATAGTAAACTATGTCAAGCTGGACTTAATGTCAAACACGGATTGCTCAAGTTGTGCTAGGGGGCATTTGGACTAGACAACAGGAAAAAATTCTTCACTGAAAATCTGGTCAGGAATTGCAATAAGCTGCCCAGGGAAGTGGTGGAATCACTATCCCTGGAAGGGTTCTAAAGGCAAATGGATGTGGCACTGGGGGGATATGGTTTAGTGGTGAACACAGTGGTGCTGGGTTAACAGTTGGACTCAATGATTTTAGAGGTATTTTCCAACATTAATGATTCTATGAAATGCTTGTTTCAAAGCTTGTATATGTACTGCTCTAGGAAAAGAGTCCTTTCAGGAGTTGTTCCTTTCTTCCCTCTGCTAGCAGAAGATACTAAAACCAACTACAATTACTCACCTAATGCAAGACTAAACTTAAAAAACCCTTTGATTTTCCTCTGACAGAAGCCTGGTGGATCAGAGTGGGCAGACTGCAGATGAGATACTCTCCCATCTCCCAGCAGCTGACCCAGCACTGCTGTTTTATCTCCCCAGGTTGACTGTACTGCATACCTGAGAAATACCAAGACCGGCGAAGCTATCGGAGCCTGCCCCTTCATCCTGCGGGAGCTCTGCGGGACAGATGGTGTCACCTACAGCAACGACTGTGCTCTCTGTGCCCATAACATGTAAGTCCTGGAGGTCACCCCTCGGGAGCTCCACGGAGTTACCTGTTGAGCATTTTTAACTCTGCTTTCTCTTCCAGTGAATATGGGACTGAGGTTGCCAAGAAGCACGATGGAAGGTGTGTAGAGGAAGCTCCTCAAGTAAGTGAAACCTAAAGAGAGCTAAGAGCTTGAGTGGGTGCCAGTTGCATAGACTGAACAAACACTGGTTGGTTTTGGGGGTGTAGCCTCCACGGGGGTCACAGCTTGTGCTGTCCCTTCCTTCTGTGGGTAAATATCACCCTCCCAGCAGCAGGAACATTTTGCACTTCCTGCACACAGTCAGGAAAAGAAAGGACAGGTGAGGAATGAATTATGAGACAGGTAGCATGAATGATTTAAGGCTTTACACCAAGAAATCCTTTTCCCACAGCAGACTTTCATAGCTGCTGAAGGAACTTAGCACTCTGTTTTGGCAATATGGGCAGGGGACACAGAGGGCCCAGGGAACCTGGTGCCTTCTGGATGCTTGTGTTTTACAAAAGGATGTTCTGCAAAGATTAGAAAATTGCCTGTGTTTCAAATGCTGATACCTGAGGTACCAGGGGATTCAAACCCATCTCTGATTTTGTTTTTCCGTAAATGCAATGTAATCCAATGTATACCAACAACGAATCTTGTAAAAATTCTAGATTAACTGTGTTTGGCCAGCTCTAAACTATTTACTCTCACTGGGGAATAGAAGAACAAAGCCACCTCATTAGCATGTGTTTGAAAGAGTCAACATCCCGAGTCAGATATTTCATTTCTATACAAACAAACTATGAAATGTCATTCCTTTGTTTCCCAAGAACGCTCTGTGCTCAGGCTGGGTGAGATACATAAATCAGGAAAGAAGAGCTCACACTGGAGAAACTGGGAGTGCTAAAACACAAGGCCAGCTCTTCAGTCAGTGTAAATCAGCTTCAACTGCTGTCAGTCCTGCTGGAAGGTTTCAACACTCAGAACTGTCCCACTGCAACAGAAGACCTGTCAGCACATCTCCCCTCTATTCTTGTGGCCCATTAAAAACACCTTGGTCACAGTCAGCCCCTCTTGAAGGAAGTGCATAAATCATGCCATTTTGATTTGCAGATTATTTTTGAGTTGCAATTTTTAATATCCTGGTAGGTTCAGTAAGGTATAGAGGCATCGTGATAAATGCAAAACTGAATGAGTAATGTCTACCTTCCAGCCTTGATTCAGCCTTCTCCAGCACAAGGCTGTGAAAGGAAATTGCTAGTTTTCCATGAAGAATGAGTTAATATATAACCATAATTTGTCGTCTGGCAGATCCTTTTAGGATCTGGCGTAGGCAGATTTAGGCAGAGGCATAAGCAGGGGGGTTGTGTCTGGGCTCCCTTGCACAGAGCAGAGCCCATGCTAGAGCTTTTGCTGTCCTTGTTCCCCAGCTCAACTGCAGCAAGTACCCAGTGTCCACACTGAAGGATGGCAGACAGCTGTTGGCCTGCACAATGATCTACGATCCTGTCTGCGGTACCGACGGTGTCACTTACGCCAGCGAGTGTACACTGTGTTCCCACAACATGTAAGTACTCCTCTTCGTCCCTGAGGGACTTGTAATGGTGGTGGATGGATCTGTGAGTGCCAAGCAATGTGCAAAGACTCTCCCTGAAGCCCTGTGCTGGGTGGGTCCTGTCTGTCTGCCCCCATTTTCCTGCTTGCCTTGGTTGGTGTTTGACTTGGGCGTTCAATCCCCACGGGGGATGCATCAACTGGAGACGTGGTTGGTCCACAATGCCATGTTCTTGTTAGTGCTGTGCAGGCTGTCCTAAGCCAGTTGATCTGAAAATCTTCTGTGACTCCACAGGAGTGAGGTTTTTTCCTTGCAATGGAGTTATATTGGGGAAGGTTGTGGCTAACAAAGGTGTCTCCTTCCTCCAGGGAGCATCGGACCAACCTTGGCAAGAGAAAGAATGGACGTTGTGAAGAGGATATTACAAGGGTGAGTGGGAAAGGATGATAAGAAAGTGAAGTCCAGTGTCTGTTAGATTTGGGGAGGACGGTCTTCTGCTCTGGGTTACAAACTGGGGGAATGGTGGTGTGCAGACCTGAGGAAATCCCTTGGGAATTTCACACTGGTCATAAAACAGTCAACATCCACCCCACTGCTCTGTAGCCATGCAGGAAAAGATGTGGCAGTGAGCAGAAACAGTACAAGATAGGATCTGCCACCAGCAGGAAACTTTGAGTTGGTTATGCTGATGTTACAGCCAATTTCATTTCTCAGTGAGGTGTCATTCCTTATGCTGGGGGGCTACACATTGCTTTCAGGCAGAGACTCATGTCTGTCTTCTGTGTGCAGGAGCTTTGCAAGGACTACAAAGATGTCTCTCCTATGTGCACCTTGGAATATATGCCCCACTGTGGCTCTGATGGCAAAACATACAGCAACAGGTGTATGTTCTGCAACGCCCACGTGTACGTATAACAGCAAAACCTTTCCTTTCATCATCAACTCCTGAATCTATCATGAAAGCAGAGCTGCCTTCATAATGTCTTTTTAATTGCTTATGAGCATATACTGGACGTTTCTGGTGCACTATGAGTTGTGCAAGGATGTGGAGGTTTTGCATTTTAAGGCAAAATGTGAAGAGCCTGTTTCTCTGATTCATATCTGGCCTCCTGTTGGTTAACTTTTATTCATTTTGGCCAGCACTTAAGCTGTCCCAGATGCTCATGAGAGCCTGTGGAACATGCTTCACCAAAACAATTGGATAGTACAGAATGTACAAAACCATTCATCTTTCCTTTAATGATGATAATGAAAGGGAGTGTTTGGGTTTCGAGACTTACTTATCTACACAAATATCAACACGAAGCCAATACTTGGCCAGTGAAATGAGGAACAGGGTCTCAGCACTGAATATGCTCTCTGTCTAATTCTCCTCTTTCCTTTTCTAACCAGGGAAAGCAAGAGAACTCTGAACCTCCTGAGTTTGGCTGAGTGCTAAGTCTGTGCTGGAGTTCAGCCCAGGAAGACAAGCTGCCTTACATGTGACTTCTCATGGGCTGATCTTCCCTAGTAACATTCCTACACTGTCTCATTTCCTTAGGTCCTGGAACACCTGGTCAATAAACTGATTTGGCAACACTTCTGTCTTAATGTGACGTCTTGTCCGTTTTGCCCCATCTCCTCCCTGACATGCTACTTTTGGTGGTTCCTGTGTATTTTTCTACTGATGTTTTCTTCTAACAAACAATGTTGATCCAACTTTTCCTGCCATGTGTCAGAGCCATCTCTGCTCTGATGAGGGCCTGACCTCCCCTTGGAACTCCCAGTCACTTCTTTACTCCTTGGAATCTCCTTGTTGGTGTTAATCTTATCTAACCATAATATCACTGTATGACCTGATCACTGACTCCATCTTTATAGTCAGTGCAAGGAGACTTTCACCTCAAGAGTATAGTCACCTCTGCCATAGGGAAGTGTCTAGGATGTGGGTGGTGATTTGCTCTCGAAGAGAGCATTATTTTTCACTTGGGCTAGAAAGGGAAATTGGCTGCCTAGCCCAGAGGTGCTCTGTCCTGGTTCTGGCTGCCCGTGCATCCTGTCCCATGGAAGAGACAGCAGCTGCTGTCAGGAAAGTGATTCCAGTCTGTCTCCACTGAATTTCTCCTCAGTGTCAAGTGCTGTTTTAGGATGTAATCTAAAGGAGGCCAATGTTGAGCTCTGTTCAGGGTCACAGACAGCAGAAGTGGCCACTCATGAAATAATCTATTAATGCAACAGAATGTTTCCAGGACTGGTGGGCAGTGATCATCCCTGAGGTGGGGGACAGCCCTGGTACATGACTGAGCTGCCTTTGAAAGCCATTCAGGAAGGAAAAGGATGCTGAGGTTCACTTGTGACCAGTCTTAACTGAGCATATAACAAGTCACAGGGAAACAATTCTGCCTGATTGTTGCTTTACCTACTTTTTTGAGGCAAAAGAGCTCAGCACCTGGTGATACAACTGTTGTCATTTTCATGGTCCATATCAATGTCAGAGGAGTAGGGAGACCTCGGGGCTTCCCTTCATCTGTTGGCAACACAGGTAGAGCCACTGCCACTACCTCCACACGAGGTCACCAAAGCTATTGCAAGTCCAGTATTTCAGGGCTCAGGGTTTCTCCTGGAATACAGCTAGTGCCTCCCTGATTCAATGTCCCATTCTAGTTTACCAGAGAATAACACAGTTACTTGGAGCAGTTTGGAACTTCACTCCTTGAATTGTTGGGCTAGAAGAATAGGCTGAAGGCAAATGTTCCTGACTTGGAGATACTGGGGGTATTGTACCAGGGAATGAGGCCAGAGTACCTCTGTGCCATTGGTGTCCATTTTCAAGATGATTTGTAACTAACAATGGCTTATTGTAATTTTCCTGGGTCTGAGTCCTAAAGTAAATGTTCCTTTGGTTTATATAACCTTTTTGCCATTTTCTGTTAAGGTGTTTTTGCAGAACATGCTGCTTTACTCTTGTTTAAGTGTTAACTTGGTTATCCTTAGGGATAAGACTTGAATTTTTATTTTTTATTTGTTGTGGACTTTGGCAGCCTTTCACTTGGACTGAGCTCTGACCACTGGCTTTTGCAAGCCTTCACAAGACTTTGCAGTAAAGCTGTCAAGAGCCAACTGAATGGCATTAGCTTGGCACAGCCATGCCAAATCCTCCTCTGTGGAGCTCATTGTCTGATGACACCAAAGGCAAATATGAATTCAAGGAGGCACGAAGTTGAGATTGAGTCAGAGCAATCCAGGGAAGCAGCCAAAGGGGTCATTAGGCAGAGGTTTCCATGCAATATTTGCCAGTAAGTTTCATGTAGAAGTACATAATGGAATAAATCACTAAAACTGGGCCAGGAAATGGGGAAAGCCTGACATTGGGGTTTAAATATTGGGAGATGTTTTATGAAGCAATATAACTATAAAAATAGGGCAACCTTCTTCTCAGGGACAGTGTTGGTTTTGGTGCCTTGGGGTTATTTCTCAGCTGTTCCAGAGTTACTGAGTGTGTGTTACTTAGAAGATTTCTTGATGCTTTCAATTAGAAATGGCCTCAAGTTGCATCGGGGGAGCTTTAGATTGGATATTAGGAAAATTTTTTTCATGGAAAGGATTGTCAAGCATTGGAAGAGGCGCTCGGGGAAGTGGTTGAGTCACTGTCCCTGGAGGGCTTTAAAAGATGTATAGATGTGGTGCTTCAGGACATGGCTTGGTGGTGGCCCAGGGGTAATGTTTGGACATGATGATCTTATAGGTCTTTTTGCAACTTAAACAATTCTATGATGTGGAAGCAACGATCAGGCAAAGACAAGCACATTCAAGAGGAAGCATTGGATTTTTGTGGCTTGGGAGAGCAGTAGAACAATACCAGGTTTTTAGTGTCCCTAGGAGATTTGAAAGGCTGTTTCAAGGGATGGTTGATTGATATGGGTGCCTGTTTGACCATGGGTAGAGGAATGGCTGGATAGATGGATAGATAGAGATTACTGTGGTGGGAAACAGCAAGAGATCACAGAATGGTACGGACCACTGGAAGTCATCTGGTCCAACCTCCCTGCTCAAGCAGGGACCACAATCATCTCATGAGCTTAGTGATTGCCAAACTGCAAATGTACTCAGTAGCCACCTCCAGTGTGCAGGTGACAGATGCCCTGGTGCTGCTCAGCCTACTGCTCTGTCACTGCTCAGGTGCATAATGCTGCAGAGCCTTGAGGCTGAATTTCTTGCCTTGAGCAAAAGCCTGAGCAACTTCAAAATGGTCAGATTGCTCTCAAAAACCATTCAGCAGTCATGCTAGTAAAGCTTGTTTTTTAATTTGGAAAGAGGCACTGAAAGAATCACATGCAAGCATGGACTTAGTCCTGCTTCAGTGGACTCTGATTTTTGCACTCTTGCCATGAGCAGAAACAGCCTTATATCCTCAGTCAAGGGTGCAGTGAATTAAAAAATGACTTTTTCAGGGCCTCTATGGCTGCAGCATCAGGCATCTAAAATTTAGTGCTGAAATGCAGCTGGTCCCACTCCTCGTACTGCCTCACAGCCACTGCTGCAGCCTTTGGCTCCAGAGAGCTTGGACAGAGCTGCTGAGCTGTGCCAAGGCTTGATGAACTTTGCTGTGTTTCACACTGATGATGGTCCAGCCTCAGGATTTGTAACCTGTAAATGTACCAGTGCATATCACAGAGGCAGTATTTTAAAAACATAAATGTCCTCTCTCTTTCCTTGTTTGTCTGACTTATCTTCATAGTGTTATCAATGTTTTCTCAGTCTACAGTAATTTTTCTTACAACACAAAGAGGAGGAAGAATGGGGGGGTGAATCATTTAAATTTTGATTGATAAGTGGAATGTAGAAAACAATACTTAGTCTTTTCATACTGAGCAGAGATTTTTTTTCCGCCTTTTATCAACACTCACCCATCTGTGACTTGAAAAACAAACCTCACAACTTTTCCTTGATAGAATCTTTAACTGAACTCCATTCAATCACTTTATCAAAAAAATCTGTTTCAAAATTATGTCTGCTGATAATTTGCCTTGGTTTATCTTTTTATTTCATATGCTGCATTTGCTAGAGAGGCATGTGGATGGGCCTAGACACTCTGTCACGCTCTTGAGGGATGCTGGAGAGTGACAAGACTCATCCCACTGATTTTTAAATATTCATTTCTGTAGAATATTTAAATTATTTTTAAGCATTTTTATAACCATATGTTCCTCAGGAGAAAAAAAGGAATACAGAAATAATGGTACGAACTCATTGTATCAGTCACACAGATTTATTTAACTAGCAAAGAAAATAGTTTGGGAAGTGAAAAACTTCCCTCAGACTTCCATGTTTAAAGGAATATCACCCTGGTATGCATCCGTTTCATCCATCAATATGTTCACACTCAGAAATGTTCATTCTCGTTGTAATTTAATGTTTGGTACAATTTTATTTGACTTTTTGCCATGCCCTGGGCTCTGGTTGCATGTTCTCCTCGGATCAACGAGTAGATAGGAAAAGAGCAGAAAGCAGTGGTGGAAGGAGCCTGACTCCAGCTGGCAGATATCCACACAGCCCAGGAGGGGGTTCCAGATTTTCACCAGCTGAGGTAAGGCCCCATAATTCTAAACATACAATCTGCAAAGAAAGAGCATTCACACAGTGTATTGCTTCCTGCCCATTTGTCATTTGTTGAAGGAAGACATTCATTTTGTTCAAGTCCCCTGAAGAATGAGGAACGTTTGGAAATTTATTGCTTTGAGCTCTTTTTCACTGTTCCCTTTTAAGCTGAGCTGCAGCCCATGCCCTAGGGCCATCACTGAGGATGGCCAGTCAGGGACCCCTGACCAAGCTGGAGATCTGTGGCACAGATGGTTCCACTTACACCAGTGAATGTGGGATCTGTGCCTATAATGTGTCACTCCAATGGAAAGAACATGTTTTTTGACTGACAGTCCCCGAGCCCTTGGCCTCTCTCTGTGCTTTTCCAATTTATCCTCCTTTTCGCCCTCTTCACTTGCTGTTTGTGCTTGGGGGTAAATCATGGAGCTTTAGCAGAGAAAATAAAACTGCTGAAGAAAGTATCCAGAGTTGAAATTCAAATGATACAGCGTATTCAGATGGCAGAGGTTTGTTGACTGATAGGTTTATAATAGCCAGAGACAGTAAAACCACTTCATTGTTGGTGGTTAACTCAAATGAACTCTCCTTCACTTGCATCACTCAGGAGTTTTATTTACATTCCCAGCATCCATTGCCCTTTGGGAAAATGGTCATACTGAGTCTCTAATGGCAGAATTTCCCTTCCTCAGAGAAGGTGAGACACTCAGGGACTCAGGAACAGTCAGCCCAGTGACTAAGAAGGAAGGCAAATCAAGAAGCAGCCTGAGCTCCCATTGCTTTCTGTGGCAGCATCCCAAACAGTGTCAGTCAGATGCTGAGCAGGCAGTGCACGATTGGACGTAAGTGATGCATATACCT